TCAACGTGTTAGCCGTATATCTAGCAGTGTGCGGTGTGGGCCCCAAACAGTGTACATCTAGCAGTATATGTTGTGGGACCCATGTGGAGCAATCTATGCCGAGCATTCTACGTGCTACCTATGTTGCGCAATCTATGTGGTGCAATCTTTGTAGTGCAGTTATTTTTGCCAAGCGCGTTGGCAAATTGCATACCCTTGAGACCATCCCACCCGCCCACCCGCAACTTGGTTTGCAAAACCCATGCGGTGGTGATTGCGATGAGTGCTTGGCGTTGGCTGGTGCATCTGTGCGGCCGCGCTAGCCCGCGCATGCTTGCTCGCGAAGCGGCCAGCTAGTTTAGCGCGACCGACGCGGCCGCGGTGGCAGTGCGAGTCGGCGGCTTGGGCGGGCGCAGTATCATGGCAACGTCGACAACGGTTGATACGATGATGGTAAGAGCGATGCTGGTGACGATGATGGAAATGACGACGGCACGGCCAGTGACGGCGCCGATGCTGATTACGCCGGCGACGAGGACGGCGTCCTCGCGTCGGTGATGAAGATTCTGGAAGGAGTTCGGCATGCGCACTCGCGGCCGACGCGCGAGAGTGGCCCGCACGGTACTGTTTGACACGGATCGTGCCCCCATCCCCAACGCGCGCGCAAGGGCATTCGAATGATTTCGACATGCGGCTCCAAAGGCTCGTTCGGCATAGTTTCTTGAACAGAGTGAGCGTTTTTTTCTTCTCCTCTTTAGAATTCGCAGGAGTGCGAGCGTACGCATTGTTGAAAACAAATGTTGCGCAGCCATGTCTGTTGATATGTTTTTTCTTTCCACTAGACTTTGAAGCCTATACGAAGCCCAAGTTTTTTCATACAGGTATAATATTTTTAAATCTGCATGCGCCCGCGACGGCGCGCGCGTACATTTCGCCATGTTTTTTTGCTAAGGGGTTCTTGCGACAACACGCGCGCAAGGGCGTTCGAGCGATTTCGACACGCGCGCGCGAGAGGCACGTTTGGTAGCATTTGATGAAATTGTCGAACGACCTATGGTCTCCCCAGCAATCTGCAAGAGCGCGAGCGCAGGCTGTTGTTGTGTGGAAGAATCTTGTTGCGAAGCAATGTGTTTGAACCTGTTTTTGGGACACTATGTATTGAAGTCCTTACGCTCAGTTTCTTTTGTTGGTTAACATATATATATATATATATCATAACCGAGTTCACAATACACACATATATATAAACACATATATGTATATATATATATATGGTTTTGGCATGCGCGCGCGACGATTCGCGTGTGTACACTTCGCCCACATATCCTCGATAATTCACGGTTTTTGATAAACGAGTCTGCGCACATAATGAAAAGGGGGGCCAGCCTTGCTGGGATGGCATGAATTCATATCTAGGAAGGGCGACCGTGCATGATCAGACCCGACATGCATTACGAAAAAACGGGCCGTTAAGTACGGGGGGGGGGGGGGAGGTGTATCCTAATATTAGTTTGAAAAAGGAACAGTTGTTGTGGTGCAGTCTTTGTCGTGCTAGTAATTTCTGTTCGCGGTGAGTTGTCAGCTTCGGCGCTCGCGCAAACATCCCGCCCGCAACTTGGTTTGCATAGGCCCATACGGCGGCGATTGCGATGGCTGCTTGGCGCTGGCTGGTGCATCGCTACCGCCGCGCTAGCCGTGCATGCTCGCGCGCACAGCGGCCAGCTAGTTTGAAGCGGCGGACGCGACCGCGGTGGTGTTGATCGCTGGGTACTTCCACGCGCGTGCACGCCGCACTGGCGCGCGGGCGCTTCAATACGGTCTTCGTGGGGCCATCGATGTCGTGTAACCTATTTCGTGCAATACATGCGGTGCAATGTATGTGGTGCACTTCAGGTTGTGAGCGTTCCAAGACGGTGTCAAATGGTTTCGAGTTAACTTCAGGGTCCTCCAAGACGCCGCAAGGCGCCCCCAGAAACATGATCGACCCACGAACCCGGAAAGGAATATAGAACTGTAACACATGACAGCGTTTTCAAAGACACCTGATTGGGTGACGGGCAAATGCAATGCTGAATGTATCGATCTCGATGTACCCTGCCGAGGGCTGTGCTGTGCTGCACCGTGCTGAATTGCGATGTGCCATGCCGCGATTGTGCTCTGTAGCCTCGTGGATCGAGTCCTCCTTTGCATCCGAGTCCTGACCGAACTGATCTGGATCTTAAGCTCGAGCTGCCTGAACACATAGTAGCTGCCCCAGAGCTGATGGACAGGGGAGCATGTCAGGAGGACGCGCCGCGAAACGTCCCAAGGGATGCGCCAGGCGACGTGCCAGGGGACATGCCATGGGGTCGCACCGCGGGACGTGCCAAAGGGACGCGCTACGGAACGTGCCAATGGATGTGCCACGGGATGTGCCAGGGGACGCGCCACGCGACATGCCAGGGAGACTCGCCAAGGGACGCGCCACGGAACGTGCCACGGAACGTGCCAAGTTGCAATGCTGAGTGTATCGATCTTGATGTACCGTGCCGAAATCTGTGCTGTGCTGCGCCGTGCTGAATTGCGATGTGCCATGCCGCGATTGTGCTCTATAGCCTCGTGGATCGAGTCCTCCTTTGCATCCGAGTCCTGACCGAACTGATCTGGATCTTAAGCTCGAGCTGCCTGAACACATAGTAGCTGCCCCAGAGCTAATGGACAGGGGGACATGCCAGGAGGACGCGACGCGGAACGTCTCAAGGGACCCGCCAAGCGACGTGCCAAGGGACGTGCCATGGGGACGCACCGCGGGACGTGCCAAGGGGACGCGCTACGGAACGTGCTGGGGACAAGCGTTTCGCTCGAGACATCCTGCCAACATCCTCAGAATTCCTGCGCGCGGGACGCGGCACGCGCGAGACATCCTCGGAATTCTTGCGAGCGGGACGTGAAAACAAGCATTTCGCCTGAGACACCCTCTGAATTCTGGACCCCCACGAGGCCCCCCACGAGGCCCCTGCTCGAGACATCCCCCAATTTTGCAAAACCAGCGTTTCGCTCGAAACGTCTTCAACAAATTATGAAAGACAAGCATTTCGCTCGAGACATCCTGCCAAAATTCAAGGAAATCCTAGCAAAACAAACGAATTAGTCGAGACATCCTCGAAATTCCTGCGCGCGGGACGCGGCACGCGCGAGACATCATCGGAATTCCTGCGCGCGGGGCGCTTTTCCGTGTCGCGGTCGGCTCTGCAAAACCAGCGTTTCGCTCGAGACATCCTCAACAAATTCTGAAAACAAGCGTTTCGCTCGAGACATCCCCAACTCTGCAAAACCAGCGTTCCGCTCGAGACATCCTCAACAAATTCTGAAAAACAAGCGTTTCGCTAGGGACATCCTCAAAAAAATTCCGCCGGCCCTACTCCCGCACGTAATTTATCGCAGAATAATTTCGCCGGCCCAAGTCGCAGGGGGGCCGGGGGGTTAACCTACTAAAAGAGAACCCTGGGCCCGCGCCCTTTCCGGGAAAAAGGCCCAAAGATGGCCCCGAGAGGAAATAATCACTGATTGTCTTGGGTTTTCGCATGAACTTTTTGTATGTTTTTTTCGAGCGAGCCAAGAGGACGCGGATGTGGTTCCAAGATTGCCACAGAGGCCCCCCAGCGGATCCCCAAACAGTTCAAGACCAGCCCAAGGCGGCCCAAGGGGGTCGCCCAAATGGCCCCCGAGGCAGCCAAGAAGGCACCACGCGGAGACAAAGGCAACGCCAGCACCGACACCTCGTGTCTTGGCCCCTGGTGCTGGACCCCAGGAGGCCCCCAGAGGTTCAAAACAGCACTGGACATCCACGGGAATTTCCAGAGCCGTCGAAGCAGACTTGCAAGATGCCCCCCCCCAGGGTCCGCCCAAATGGAGATTAGAAAACATCTCACACGGGGGCCCGCCTCGGACGCTGCCCGTTCCTCCGGCCCTTGGGCCGTCAGCGTGACGAGTTGGAGTGACACGCTGGTCCTTGGGGACTCCCTGGGGTCCTGGACCCCATGCCTCCAGGACCCCGTCCCTCCTCCGCCCCCCAAGAAGCGCGAGTGAAGCGCACGGAGAAGCGGACGAGGGAGAAGGATCCTGAGAGTGGCAATGGAACCGGTCGTGTGCGTGGTTGTGGCCGTCCCAGCAAAGGCGGTGGCAATCGTAGCAGAAATGGTGGTGGTAGGGATGATCGGCCGTGGAGTCATTGCGACTAGAACCTAAGCGCGCGAAACGCGCACGCGTTTTTGGTTGTTTATTGTTTATATACTTATTGTGCTTTGGTTGTTTTCTGCTTGCTGATTATTGTTATTTGTTTGTGTGTTCTGTGTGTGTGTGTGTGTGTGCGTGTGTGTTTGATTTACGCCGCACCGTCGCTCGCGTGTCCGGCCGCGACGTCAAACGTGTGTGTGTGTGTGTGTGTGTGTGTGTGTGTGTGTGTGTGTGTGTGTGTGCGTTTGTGTGTCAGTGTGTGTGTGTGTGTGTTTGTGTGTGAGTGTGTGAGTGTGTGTATGTGTTTGTGCGTCTGTGTGCGTACGTGTGTGTGTGTGTTGTCTGTGTGAACATCTCGCGACCTTTCGCCCAACCCACCACCGTGCTCGTTTCGGGGGCAATATCTTTTCCTAGCTCTTCCTTGGGGTGAGAGGAGGGGGAGGAGAAGGAGGAGGAGGAGGAGGTTTGCAGTCACATCCAGGCGGACCTCTTGTGCTGCGCTGGGCCATCCCCAGAAAGACTGTCAGGTCTCCCCCCGCTCCATGGCATCTCCCCCAGCCAGCCACGCCTCAAACAAGCGATGTGGCTTTGTGCCTGCGTGTTGGTGCTTGTTCGCGCGCACTTGAGGAGCTTCGGGCACTTCATCAGATTTGTTAGAGCGTGGCATTCAGATGCTCGCGACATGTGCTCATGTCACAGGGATGCGTCGGTATAACTATTACGTTTGCATTCAAGTCTTATGTGAGTTGATTTGCCTCCAACGTCTTCCTCAAATGTTCAACCTCATGACTCTCCTCCTCCATCGGCTCGAGCGTGCCATAGCACCTCTGGGAGGTTCTGCGCGGGCGGGCTGGAGTAACTGGGGGGTCAGTCAGAGGAAGAGGAAAAGGAGGAAGAGGAGGAGGAGGAGGAGGAGGAGGAGGAGGAGGAGGAGGAGGAGGAGGAGGAGGAGAAAGAGGAGAACCGAGGACGGAGGAAAAAGGAGGACGGAGCAGGAGCAGGAGCAGGACCAGGAGGAGGAGGAGGTGGAGGAGGAGGAGGAGGAGGAGGAGGACGAGGAACAGGATGTTGTGGAGAGAATCTGCATCCCACGCATTCCCGCTTGGTCGAGTGGCGAAACGGCCGTTTCTTCAACGTTCACCTCAACAGTATCGCGGGAGTCTGTGCCCTTTTTTGAGGATGGGTGGGGTGCGTAGCGAGGACCGGGGATCTGACAGAGGACCTTTCTCGGCAGTTTCTGCCCCCTTGTTTTTGCCCCCCCTCCCTCCTCGCGCTCCTGGTCCTCCTCCTCGTCCTCGTCGTCGTCGTCGTCCTCCTCCTCCTCCTCCTCCTCCTCCTCTGTCTCCTCTTCTATTCCTTTCTATTCCTCGTCCATATGAGTAATCCTCCCTGCCGCTCCCCGAGGCGTGTTGGTAGGGTGGGCCAGGCGTTTCGCTTGAGACTTCCTCACCGTTCATGATCCTGCATCTTACAGGTCTTCACGCCTCGCGTATCCTTACCAGCTGGCCGAAGGGTTCATGGACTTCGAGTTCGACATGCTTACCTGGGGGATTGAACGACGGTTTCTCTCTTCTGCCCGTGTCGGAGGCTTTCCCGCTGCTCGTTCTGGTTCGCTTGCTGTTCCACGTCGTAAAGCCCTTCCGGTCCAGCGCTTCGTGTTCGGCAAGGTACTTGGGGAACATGGTTTGGCCGTTTCCTTTCTCTCCTTGTCACCGCCGTCCTGGGTAAGTGTGGCGCAGTCGGACTCCCTCCTCGTCATGATCACCGTGCCAGTCTGCCATCTCTTTCGTCCTGTTGGACGCTGAACCCGTGTCTGCGCCAGGCGTTGCTCCGTTCTGTTTTTCCCAGTTGTTTCGGCGCGGCCCGCCCTAGCTGTGCCCGGATTTCGACCTGCTTCGCGAGCCCGCGTGCCACGAACAAATATTTCCACCAGCCCGTGCAGAAACGATTCCCTGCGAGCTGGCGGGGAAAGAGACGAACGTACATATATTGAGACAGCGCGGGAGCAAGGGGGTGGCCTTGGAGGGCCTCTTCGGGCCATCCCTGGGGCCCGTGTGGGGGCGAGGGGGGGAGGAGGAGGAGGAGGAGGAGGAGGAGGAGGAGGACGAGGAGGAGGAGGAGGAGGAGGAGGGGGTCCGTAGCCATTTTGGCTCAAGTCCGTAGCAGGAGGCTCTGAGGCTTGGGTTTGGTGCGAGGGGTTTGCGGCCCTCACTGCTTACACGTCTACTGAGGTTTCATCCCTCACTGGTTGCCATATCACTGTACATCCGCCCCCCTCCATGGGAGATTTCTCTCGCTGGGCGTGCGGGAACAAGAGGTGTGGCTTTCAGCACAACTATGCATCCCGATCGAGTTGTTACAAATGCGGCTGGCAACCTGGGCGTCTCCCTGGGCTGTCGGCCTCGCGGCAGGCTGCTCCGAAGCCCCGTGGTGCCTGGGTGCAGGGGCCCCCACGCGCTGCTCAGAAGCCTGCGGCGCCACCGCTCTCCGACGCCCAGGTCGCCGCCTACGCTCGCATGTCGGAGGAGGACTTCGCAGCCGTCGCTGGCGATCTGTCGGCCAAGGCTCGAGCGAGGGTGGCCAGCAAGCGTGCCCTCGACCATGGGGAGCCCCAGACTGCGGCACGCGCGGCCCGCCTCGACGCCGATGTGCTGCAGCAGCAGGTCGCCCAGGCTCAGGCCAAGCTGGACAGAGCCACCAGCCAGGCAGCCAAGGCCATGCAGCACGTCCTCGACTGCCGCGCCGCCCTCGCGGACCTCACGGCGCAGCGCGAGGCCGCCGCCGCCCGTGCCGCCGCGGCGTATAGCGCCTTGGCTCCGCAGGGCGGCGCGGCGCCGCCGGTGTCGGCGAGCGAAGCTTGCAAGCAGATCGAGGCCCTGGTCGCAGCGGTGCAGGCCACGACGGGCGTCGACGAGGAGGCAAGGCGCCTCACCGCGCTGGTCAAGATGCTTCGCGACAAGCTCCCTGCAGAGCCCCCACCTGCAGCAGCGCCAGCAGCAGCCCCCGAGGCGGCTGGCGCGGGTGCGGGCGGTGGCAGTGGCGCTGCTAGTGACGCTGATGAGCCCATGGCTGCTGCACCCGACTGGAGCTACTTCACGGATCCCAGTGGTGACTTCTTCTCCGCCTTCGTCGAGCCACAAGGTGGTGTTGCTGGAGCTGACGACGAGCAAGGAGGTCCCGCTGCCAAGAAGATACCCAGAGAAGTTTTCGAATCCTTGGTCAAGCAGATGCAAGAACACCATGTCAAGAAGGCCCGCACCGCCTCTCCCGAGGCTACTGGCCAGCAAAGGCTTTAGCACTATCTTTCGTATCACCACGGCCAACGTGACGGGCCGTGCAGGTTTGGAATGTGTGCTTGGCAGCCAGGATGTCCTCGGCGGCGACGCCTTGGCTGTTCAGGAACACCACTTTGCCCAGGTACAAGCCTGGGAGGCCCGTCTTCGACAGCTGGGGTGGTCGGCCAAAGGGCTTGCGGCCCAGACCACCCCAGCAGGGGGCACCACTGGAGGTCTGTTCCAGATGGTGCGACGCAGCTTCGGCATGGCTGAGCTACCTGATCAGAGTTTCTGTGTGGCCGAGGCGCGAGTCAGTCTTCTTCATCTCTCCGCCCTTCGGCCTGGGGGCATTCTTTGGGCCAACGTCTACTTGTATGACTCGCAGGGCGTCTCGGCTCAGAACTGGCGCCTACTTACGTTGCTTGGTGGCATTCTGCATCGGTATGGTATGCCCTTCGTGGTCTCGGGTGACTGGAACCTCACGCCAGAGGAGGTGCTCAGCACAGGATGGACTGACACACTTGGCGCTGACATCGTGGCCCCGTCGCTGGCTACCTGTGTTCGTGGAGCGTCCCGCACGCTGGATTGGTTCGTCGTCTCCCGTGGGCTGCACTACGGCTCCAGCGTCCGCTTGCTCACCGCCGTGGGCACCAAGGACCACAAGCCTGTGCAGATTGAGCTCAAGTCCAGCCGCGTGGAGGTCCAGCTTCCACACGTTCGGGTGCCCAGAATGTTTCCTCGGCTTCGTCCTCATGGCTGCCTTCTTCCCTCTGACCGCTGGGAGTCGGTTCAGACCCTCATCGACGACGGCTCGGACCCCGACACCATCTGGCAGAGCTTCGCAAGTGTCATGGAGCAGGAGTTCCTAGAGATATACCAGATCGACGGTAACGACAGCAACCCCTACATCGGGCGAGCCCGTGAGCTGCGCGTGCAGAGGCGCAGGCCTCCCCCGCCCAGGCAGCTGCCCTTCCCCCGCACCTCCAGCGCCGCTGTCTGGTTTCGTGCGCTCAGTCAGGTTTTGCAGGAGCTCTCTCATTGTCAGAAACTCTTTGAGCGAATTTCGACCCTCCGTGCGTGTCGGCGGCTACGGCACTCCGCGGGTTCCCTGCCCTTGGCCCTTGTGGGGCCGTGGTTGGGCCTTCTGTATGTAGCCGCTGACGTGGACTGGGGCCTTGCCAGCTTCCTCGCGCACGAGGCGCGAGACCTTGCCGCCCAACACCAGAGGATCGGCGAGAAGCGTCGTGATCAGGAGTGGCGAGATTGGGTCCGCAAGCACAGTGCTGCTGGTGGTGGCGCGCTCTTCTCACTCTCCAGGCCCGTTGTTCCCTGGCACTCCAGCCCGTCCTTCGACGAGGAGGGGGCGCCTCGCAGTGCGCCTGCCTCTCGGGAGCAGGAGATGCGCCTGTTAGCGGAGGAGTGGAGTCGGTACTGGTGTGTGGGGGAGTTGGAGGATTCTCTGTGCTGGCCCCAGGACATGGGGCCGCCGCTGCCAGACTTTTCTCTCGCCGACCTTCGTGCTTGCTTGCGCTCTTTCAAGCCAGCCAGCGGAGCTGGCTTCGATCAGATCAGTCCTCGCCAGCTCGACGAGCTCAGCGACGCAGGCCTCGAGTGCTTCAGACAGCTGTTGCTAGCCATCGAAGGTTCATTCACTTGGCCGCGCATGTGGACCAAGATAGTTTTTCTCATGAAGCGCGCAGGCGGGCTTCGCCCAATTGCGCTGCTGCACATCTGTGCGCGCGTCCAAGGACGCCTGCGGCGTCCCCTTCTCCAGCAGTGGCAGCAAGAGAACTTTCGGGATTTCTGGTGGTCGACGTCGGGGAGGGGGTCGGAGCGCCTCGTGTGGATCCAGGCTGCCACTGCGGAGTGGGCTGTCGGGCGCAATCTCACGGCGGGCACAGTGTTGCTCGACCTCCGCAAGGCGTTCGAGAATATCCGACACGGCGTGCTGCTGGAGGCGGCACGTCGCTCCAACTTTCCTTTGAGACAGCTGCGGCTGCTGATCGCACTTTACAGAGCACCCAGGGTGCTAGAGTATGCAGGGATGAACTCCGCACCGATCTGTACGCAGCAAGCCGTCCTGGCTGGCTGTCAGTTCGCTACTCTGTGTCTGCAGATGGTCGTCTTGGCTCCGCTCGATGCCGTCCAGTCGGCGTTCCCCCGCCAGACTGCAGAAGAAGTGCAGCTGGGGGTGGTGGTAGACGACTTTGCGCTGCACAAGGTTGGCTCGGAGGATCGAGTCCGCCAGTGTCTTGATCGAGCCACCGCCATGCTTCACCGCGAGCTGCAGGCCGCGTATCTTCCCGTGAGCCGCCCCAAGAGTCGGCTGCTCGCTTCACACGTTCGGCTGCGGAGGCGGCTCGCCTCTGTCCTTCGCCCTCTGCAGGTTCTCCCAGTACAGAGCGAGCGCAATCTAGGCGTTGATTATGCTGCAGGAGGTGTAATTCGTCGGGTCACCAAGCGTGGCCGCCGCACGGCGGCGGTGGCGCGACAGAAAAAGATTACTTCGCTGGCAGGACAGCTCCGAAGGCGAGCTCTCCACAACATGGTCCGCGCGGC